TCTTTTTAACAGACTTGCAAAGTTTTGTACCTATCATTTTTTTGTTACATGTACCGCTTAATAAACATGTTATTATTCTGTTGCACCACAGCCAAATTATTAATGTTTTTGATCATAAAAAAAATTTAAAAAAACTAGTAAAATCATTTCATAAATCACTGAATATACTGATAATATATCAAACCAGATTGAAAGTTAATTATGTCGATTTCATTATTCTTATAATCCAGTATATATACAAAATTTTTAATATCTAAATTTTGATATTTGTTCCCCATCTTCTTTACTTACACAGTTACATTTCGAAGATTAATTGTTTTTCCAAATAAAATTTTGTATAATATTTTAATTACGATATCATTGAAGAGATTGTATAATGATATTGCAATTACAAATTTTAACTAAAATATCTTAATATATATATTAATTGTTTGGTTTAAAAAAATATTTCTGAAGCCATTTAATCCACACTTAAGAAAAGTATATAAAGTCAATAAAATTTTAAAGTCAAACAAAAATAATCTTTATTCTGTATTCCATCTATTTCCTATATGTGCAATAAACCTTGTTTAAACGCATTGTGCGGCAGAATGGTTCATACAATTCTAAAAAACGCATATGATATCTGTTCTGCATTATGATGACAAGCATCTAGATTTTCTGTCGATAAAAAAACGATTGCAATAAACAAATAAACAAAATATCAATAGTCTAAATATATATATAATCAGTCCCTGCCGTGTATAATTTCGATGATTTAAATAATATTGCAAACTGCTATTAAGCTCTGCTATTAACTAGTTGTCGTACTCTTATAGATTTCACGTATTAAAAAAGTTTGGATATATCAAATATCCATTAATCCTATTTTCCGCCTTGTTTACAATTAAATTCAATTTTCTGAAATGTTATCATAATTCTTTTAATATTTAAAATAAATGTGAGGCTAAACCCAATTTCATTTTACAACTCAATAGATAATTAGTACAAATATACATGGTTTCAGACAATGCTGAACAATTTAAGTAAAGTGGACACACCTAAATATCTTTTACACCATTAGAGAATTGCTTGCGATGTAGATGGTGGTGGATTAGTTATTGGCAATGCAGGAACCGGGCCATCTATCCAATGAATGAGCGAGTGCTCACTTACTTGAGAACTTTGAAAATGGTCCTTCAAGAGGGTTTGAGAGAATGTACAATGCATTTGATACGCTTCGGCCTCATGAGTAGGGTCACCACAAATTCTATATAAATCTGTAATATTTCAATTATATAGTTTGCAGCTAATTAAAACATCACTACTTACTTTTCAATGTATCTACATGTACCTTTTAAAATGGCAGTAGCCCACAGTTGTACATGTACATCAGGTATTTTAGAAGCTAATTGCATCGCAGGTGTGACCATATTCATTGATTCTCTACTATTTCCTAATGAAAGAAATATATGTCCCAAAAGCACAAGACTACAGGAAGTGAGTCTGTTCAAATCTTCCGAATTTGCCATTTTTAAGGTTTCTCTAAGATATCGTCTGAAAATCATATTTGCACAATAATACATCGATATATTCAAATTGTTTCTATACTGAGATTTTTTAACGTCGCTAACTGAGAATCAGACTGTTTTTACTTTTTGGGAAATTAAACTTACAAGTTTCATTCCCATTTATCAAAATATTTATTAGGATATGTGAAAAGAAATATTTAAAAAAATCTTACTTACTTTGCTTCATTGTATCTAGCACCGAAAAAAGCTTGAAGTCCTTGTACGTAATATGCAGCTGCCCTCAAAGAATGAGAATGCGATGGTAGAGATTCTGGATTTATCCTTTCTAATAATACCCCCAGCTCGGCTTCTTTCTTTGATCTGAGATATACTATCGCCAGGTTCAAATTTGCGAATGTCCAGAGTTCTCTCTCTTGTGACGTCTGAAAAAGATAAGATAAATCTTTATTTTCAATGTCTGCTGTCGTTAGAAGTACCTCATACATCTAATTATATTTGTATGTAAAATTCAGCCAAAAAGAAAATAAATGTTCAAAAGAGTATACACAACTAATATAGATTAAAGATATAATAACATGTATAAAAAATTCTTGAATTATTTATTATATTTATTTATTACAATTTATAATAACAATTTTATTTCCTTACTCTAAGTGCAGCAGTAAACTGAGCCTCTGCAGCTTCCAAACAATTCATAGACATTGCGTATAAACCTAGTAATACATGTAATTGTGGCCTATGACCTTGAAGTAACCTAGGCTGCCGTCTGCAGAGTTGGCAAGCTTGAGAAATTTCTGTAAGAGCTACGCTTTTGTTTCCCATTACAAGCCGGCACATGATTATATGCTCCAAGAGCATTAGTTGAAACACGGACAAGATAGGTTTATTATCGATAACTGTAAAATAACAATAAAAATTTCGATTTTACGAAATATTAAATCAATAAAAAATGTAAAAACATAATGTATTATGCAGGATGACGCGTAGCTCATCGTGAGAGCGGTTGATTTCGACCTTCATTCCGTTTATTCGAGATTGATTGGAGAATTTGTGAATAAAGAAACAAGAGAAGAGAATTGTAATTTTAGAAAACAATAAACTACTTTGAGTGCGAGCGTGGCATGGCAGACAGCGCACTGGTCTACCATGCCAGAAGTCCCGGGTTCGATCCCAGTAGGAACCAAAATATTTACGCTCGTATTTCCTCTCGGAAAAGGCCGGCAACCTTCCGAGAGTATCCTTGCCCACAGAAACACCTCTCGAAAAATCCGCCGTTCGGAACCGGCATTAAAACTGTAGATTCCATATGCTTGTGAGAATTGAATAATCAGCGTACGCATCACAAGCATATGAGAAAGATATAACACAGGCCAGAGGCCTAACGTAAAAAGAAAAGAAGAATAAACTACTTTAATTAATTAAAAAAATAATATGCATACTTACTTTTCAGTTTTTCAATTTGACTAAGCGCTTTGTCTGTATATTTCTGCGCTTTATCCATATATCCGGCTTGCATAGAATGCATAACGGTGACTAAATAGACTAAGACATATAGATGGTCTTTCGGCATCCATATAAACATATCTCCGATATTGGAGCCTGTGACTACCACATCATCTGTTGGCCAGCTAGGTGACATTATAGTCTGTATACTTTGTTGCAATGATTTCAAACAAGGTTTCACGCTCTTTACCTATTTTAATAATACAAAAAGATAATGTTACTATTAGAATGGTATATCCAATATTTTTTGTAAATTACAATACTTATAATTACTCTCACCTGGCCAGCCATAAGATAATGACATACTTGAAGAACTAGAAAATACACCTTTAGATACTCCTTTTGATACGAGTTGCCTTGCCAATTTTCTATATGATGGTTCGCTGAATTTAGAAGAGGATGAACCTCAGTGAACTTCTTATCTATTAATAGTAGCATACACCGGCTTAAAAGAAAGAGAACTCTGGTATAACCAGCGTTACTTATGTGGGAATAATCAACGCCTACTGCAAGTAAGCTACTCGCTGCGACGAAGTCCTTCTCTGAGGCATGAATTTGCTGCAATACACAAATCGTCACACATATGAATACATTATTTATTCAAAACATAAAGATTTAATTAATTAAATTAAATACATTTGAATAAAAAATGCCATCTATAGTCAAGACGATTCTTTGTACCTATTAATATTTCTTATAAATTTATATAATTAAGACGCAATAAAGAATTAAGTTTATTAAACTTACCGCGAGTTGAAAGATAAGCCTGCAATGCCAGTAGACATTGTGCTGAGACAGTTCTATTGCCTTCCTCAAAATTGGTTTACTCAAGTTTGGCTGCAGCTGCTGTTGTTGTTGCTCATACAGGTCTGCGAC